AAGGCCCACTGGGCTGGGGACTGACCACTCTGGGTCACTGTCCTGACCTGGAGGATCAATTAGGCCATAGTGACAACTGCCTAGACCAGAGTTCCTCAGCTCACCAGCCAGCACGTGCACATGAGTACAACACATACAGCCGTGCCTCACAGGTCCCTCACATGTGTCACAGAGTGTGGGGGGAGTGAAAACACCATTTCTTCCTCTCCCCATGGCCAAAGCACCCCAGGAAGCTCCAAACAGCTTGATGATATTCAGGAGCTGCAGGTACACATGTGTATATACTCAGCCACATGTGTCATGACTCACACCAGCCTGCCCCAAACTGCACCCTGTAGGGGAGCTAGGCAGAGGAGGAGACTGGGGCTCTGGGCAGGCTTGGGCTGGTTCCTAGAGGGCAGGGGGCCTTTGGCTGGCAGCTGTTCCCAGGGGTCTCCTCCAGAGCCTCACTAGGTTGGAGGTCTGGGTACGGATAAGAAGCGTTGGCTGCCTCTGGCAGGCAGGTAAGTCTGTCTGGCCCCGTGGTTGCCTGCTCACACCCTCCCAGCTCCCTGTCCAGCCAGTCTACCCCTTGCCCTAGATCCACGACACTCGAAGTGAGGTCAGGAGCCTCCGAAGACAGGGGATCCTCAGGTTCCAGGTCCTGGAGGTGGAGGTCAGGGTTCCCTTTGGATGCACTAAAGTCAGAGTGGACAATGACTTCAGCCTCCACCTGGTTCCTGCAGGCTGGGGGTGGCTTCTTCCTACCATTGCCCTGGTCAGAGCAGAGAACACAAAGACGAGGTAATCATCACTGACAATGATCATCAGAAGAACGACCAACATACTTGGCGTGGAGGAGGACTGACCCACTCCCCCAAGCCCCAGAGTGTGTATCACCTGGGAGCTGGTAAAGGAAGTACAATGATTGTCCTACAAGAGATGATGATCAGGCCGACGCAAAGGCAGAGAAGAATGGAATACTACCCATTTGCCCTTGCCCAGAGTTCAGAAGTACCAGATTTAGTCAGAGCCTCAGTGCATAGGAGGAAGGGCAGAATGCACTGAGGGCAGGCCCACCCTCAGATCCATGGTGATTCTGCCGGGCCCACATAGGTATGGGGAGAGGAGCGACTGTCTTCAACTCAGGTGAAACAGATTCCCGGAAACTGCCTGCCTTCCACCCGCCCACCTTCAGAGGCTCCAGGGGTTCTCTCCTAGCTAGACTTCCATCCCCAGGGAAATTACCCTCAGAGGTCACCAGAAAGCTCACTACTTACTCTTCACAAGCACAGAGCCCCTTCTCTCCTTTCCTGCCCCTCCTTCCCAGGACACTGACCTTTATGGCATCATACACCAGAGCCTGCAGCAACAGTGTCTGCCCAGTTCCAGCAGGGGGCAGCAGGGCCCGGGTCAGAGAAGGCATGGCGCCTGCTTGGGGCAGCTCACAGCCAGCCCAGGAACCTGCCCAGCTTGGCCCACCTGGCTGAGCCCAGGAGATCTGCAAGGGGGGAAAGACACAGGAGCACTGAAGGCTTGAGTGGAAGAGGAGAGCAGAAGAGAGGGAAGTGGATGGAGACTCTTGGCCTTCTTGCTACCTCCCCACTAGGGCTGTGGGGAGGGCCTGAGAGTCTGGGGGTGAATTTGAGGATGGAGAATTCTTCCTGCAGAAAAGCCTAATACCACCTGCTTTGGCAAAGCCTAGAAGTGTCCGAGCCAAGCAGGCTCTCCTTCACCACAGGGGCAGGGAAAGGGGGAAGAAGCACTCATGGGTTTGAGCAGGCTCCTCAGAGAAGGGCAGGATGAGCCACTGCTGCTGGCGTGGAAGGTACCTGCCCTATGTGGGCCTACCTTATCCCGGTCCTGGTCTCACCGGGCCATAGCCAAGCTGACCAGCCTCTTGTCCTGGTCAGGACTGGGAGGAATGGGTCTTAGAGGTTTCTCCAGCTCCCAGCACAAGGAGGGATCTGGGCGTTGTGACCACTCTGAGTCACCGGCAAACAGTCCACAGGAGGCCCTTCCCTTCTTCCAGGAGAACCAGACTGACCTATTCTGCCAGGGATGGAGGCCCATCTGCTTCCCTGCCCTGCCAACCCTTTCAGGGAGGAAGGAGAGAGTGCCTTTTCTTCTACAGCTGGTCCAGGGAAGGGGAGGAGGAGGGTGGAGGAGTTTCTCTCTGGGTACACACATTGTACTCTTGCGCCCCCAGGTGTCCTATTTGGAAATGAGCTGTGGTGTGGGGCTCTGACCTGCCCAGGCTCCAGGCTTACCTTTCTTTTGGAGTGACCCCGGCAGTCTGAAGCACCGCCACCCATAAGGCTGTGCACTTCAGCCCTGTCCTCGATGTCTGAGGGCGGTGGAGACCAGTCCTGGGGACGGGGGTGCACAAGGGACTCCAGTTCATGGGCAGCTGGGGGGCTGGGGGGCCCAAGGCGGGCTCTAGAGTACAGTGCAGGGTTCCCAGCATTGGCCGTAGAGGACAGGCCCGGGAGGGCTTCTCTGGAAGGGAAGATAGGGAATCAGGCACAGTGGTCAAAAAGTGAGGGGTAGAGGCAGGACTGGGATCTAGTTCAGCCTATGTCCTTGGGCAGGTTCCTGCCCATCTCTGGAACTTGGTTTCCCTGTCTGTGTAATGATTAAGAAACTGTTCAAAACAGCTGAAACATTGCAAATGGGACCTTCCCTCCCTTGACTCCAGGTATCTGAAGATTTGGGGTCCCTCCTTCCAAGATGCTGGTACCTACAGAGAGAGTGAGAGAAGGCAGCTCTGCCTATGCCCACCCTTGCTGAGGAGGTAGGCTGGGGGCTCCCCTAAACCCACTCCCCACTCTCATGAGGATATCACCCCCAATCCCTCCATCCTAGAATCCTAATTTTAATGGAGGCGCTGAGGGTTCCTTGGCAAATCGTGGCCATTCTCCCTGCTTTCTCATCTCTGGAGCCCTTCTGGAAATCTCTCCTCTCTGTAGTCAGACTGGCTTCTTCACCCACCTGTGGGGGCTGCGGCGCAGGCCGGCACACATGCAGGCCAGGAGGCAGAGGAGGCCCAGGCAGACACCCACAATGATGCCTGTGACTGAGTGCACGTCCAAGGAGTCTGGTGGTGGAGACAGAGGGGACAGAACAGGTCAAGGCCAGAGGCTCAGGGTTCATAGAGTCTCACCCTTTGGACACTCAAAATATTTTTTTTTTCAAGTATTTTTTTAAGTTTATTTATTTTGAGAGAGGGAGAGAGTGAGTGAGCATGAGTAGGGGAGGGGCAGAGAGAGAGAGGGAGAGAGAGAATCCCAAACAAGTTCCACACTGTCAGCACAGAGCCCGATGTAGGGCTTGATCTCACGAACTGTGAGATCATGACCTGAGCCAAAATCAAGAGTCAGATACTTAACTGGATGAGCCACCCAGGTGCCCCCTGACACTCAGAATGCAAGAAGGGGTCCACCACTGCCTCTCTGACTATCCTCCCCATTGGAAATCTGAAGTTGTGGTCCCTGTTTGTCAACTTGGCCTTTCAGTGAAACACAACTGGGACTGGTTTCGTGGGTATGCTACAAGGGTGGTCTCACGGGGCTCACACTTGGAAGGGCTCCGTGCTTGGTTTAATGCTCTGCTGTCACCATCTTGAAATTCTATTTTTTTTTAAATAATATTTGAGAGAGAGAGGCACAGAGTGCAAGTGGGGGAAGGAGAGAGAGGGAGATACAGAATCCGAAACAGACTCCAGGCTCTGAGCTGTCAGCATAGAGCCTGATGCAGGGCTCGAACTCACGAATGGTGAGATCATGACCTGAGCTGAAGTCAGATGCTTAACCAACTGAGCCACCCAGGTGCCCCGAAATTCTAATTTTTAAAGAAAGGCCCCACATTTTCGTTTCACACTTGGCCCTGCAAATTATATAGCCAGTTCTGTTGCCCACTCCCACTCCATAAGGCTTGTCATGTCTCCAAACCAATCCTCCAAAGCAATTTCCCAAAGAACAAAGCCAGTCTCCCACAAGTCTGACCTCTCGACTGAATCACCACTGAACTACACCCAATTTCCCCTTCAAATTTGTCCTCTCTGCACCAAACTACGAGGCCAGCTGTCCAAAACGATGAAATGGTAGTTGTGCCTGGGAACAGGGCCTTGGAAGAGATAACTTTAGGATTAGAGGTCAACTTGAGGGGCCTCAGAAGAACTTAGGCTGTCCCAGGATGGACCCACTTTTCCCTCCCTGCCCTCATACCTGAGAGCTTCTCCTGGAGAGTGATCACATCCTGCAGACCAGAGAAGGGCCCAGGCCCCACCTCTGTGCGTGCCCCCATCTTGAAGAAGTACCTCGTGTCACTCTCAAGGCCGTGTACCTCAGCACTGAAGATGTTTCCTGGGGGCAGGGGGAAGCAGGGAGAGCAGGGTTGGGGGGCTGGGTGGGGATGGGATGCAGAGATAGCCTGGGAAGCAGGACTCGGAAGGTATGCTCTCCCACTCAGGCACTAGCTTCTGCCTCTTCCTTCTAGAAACCCCTGGGACAAACCTCAGCCACACTGTCACCACTAACCCAGCCACTGGAGAGGTTGGGAAAGGGAGAGAGAGTGTGGAAGCTCTTGCTCAGATGCCCTGGTGTGGGAGCCCTCACCCTCCGTGGTGAGCAGGGTCCACTGGTGCTCGGGCTGGGTGTGGTTGTTGCTGTATAGAATCAGATATTCCACGATCTCGCCATTGGGCTCCGTCGGGGGACACCAGTGCAGCCGAACGGTGGATGGCGTCAGGGGGCTCAGGCGCAGGTCGGATGGGGGCGTTGAGGGCCCTGGGGTGCAGGGGAAGAGATGAGGAGAGGCACAGTCACTGAGAGCCCCAGCTCTGGGGGCAGCTGGGAGATGGGGCATGAGGACATGGCCTCCCTTTCTCCTCCTTCACTGGACAAACCACAAACCACAAACCAAAATGAGATCTGATCTCTAACTGGGGAGTTTCTGGAAAACAGCTGGCAAGGTTTCACTATTTCTCCCCTCCCAGAAACTCTCCAAGTCTTCAAGTAAAATTCATTGATGCCCTATGTAGCCTTTGTCTATGTCTGCCCCTGACACAGATCCTAAGGGTCATGGGAAGCCCAGTGTGAGAAGTACAACCTTGGAAGTCTTTGTGTTCTGTTTTTAGAGAAGAAGCTGATCCCGGGGGATGGGGGTGAATGAGGAAGGGTGAGAAGTAGGGACACAGGTGACTAATGAGTTGGAAAGGGTCAGATATTTGGGGTTTCAGGTCTTCAAGGCCTGGCAGAGGATGAGATGGGGACCCAAGGCTCTAAGGTGTAAGACAGCCACAGCATTACCGGCCGTCAGAACCCTCTTTGACTCTCAGCTCTAGTCTCCCACCCCTCCATCTGCAAAAGGAGAAAACATCCCCTGTCTGTAGCACAGCCAGTTGTGCTGGGGAGCCAATGTCATAAAGTCTCCTCTGAGAAAACAATGGGGCCCCCTCAACTTCCTATGCAGTTTAAGACCACAATAACTGAAGTCATAAGTAGGTGAGAAACAATTTGTAAGGAGTGCTTTTAAAGAACAAATCCATGAGTGCAGAGCTCTCACCCCCACCCCCCAAACGTCTTCCTATATCAGATCCTGGGACAAAGGTCTTCTGTCTATGGGAAGGTAAACAGTTTTAGGGCTGATAGAACTGAAGAGCCTCTGCTATGAGAACAAAAACCCATTTGTCTTGGAATGCCATTTCTAGAGGTTACACAGTCACAGACTTGGACAGTGAGTGGCCCCATCCTTTCTTGTTACAGATGGGGAAACAGAGGCCCAATGGGGAAGGGATCTGCCCAAGGTTTCCTGTGTGCCAGGGGCAGGATAGGGACCCAAATGTAGAATCCACGACGCCTCCCTGACCTGGCCCCTCTTCACCAACTCAGTGAGGTCTTGGCAGTCCCATAAAAGAAGCCACTCCTCTAAATCTTATTATGTTTATGCCTAAAGCACAGGACTGGCCTACACAAATGCAAAGTCAATGATAGACAGAAATGGGGCTCTGAGGGACGTATCAAAAAAGAAGGCCCGGGGTGCCTGGGTGGCTCAGTAGGTTGGGCGTCTGACTTTGGCTCAGGTCATGATCTCACAGCTTGTGAGTTCGGGCCCCACGTTGGGCTCTGTGCTGACAGCTCAGAGCCTGGAGCCTGCTTCGGATTCTGTGTCTCCCTCTCTCTCTCTCTCTCTCTCTCTGCTCCTCCCCAACTTGTGCTCTATCAAAAATAAATAAATGTAAAAAAAAATAAAAAAAAAAAAAAAAAAAGAAGGCCGTTGGGCAAGAAGGATTGCTTGTAAAAGATGGACTGCTGGCAAGGGGGCCACTCACGGTCAGGCAGGGTGGAGCGCTCCACCACGGAGCCGAAAGGCCCGTCCATGTCCACTCCGTGGGACTGTACTGCAAACTCATATTTGGTGAACGGCTTCAGCCCACCAATGAGGATGTCTTCTCCAGAACTGTTGAGGCAAGAAATGTGACTGGTGCTTCAGGCACCCCCTCCTAGCAGGGCAGGCCCCTCCAAATCCACTCCCCCAGTCCAGCCCAGCCCGGCTCAGGCCCCGCCCTGGGCAGGGAATCTACTCTCTGGCACGGGGCCGCTGACACCACCCAGGGGCCCTATAGAGAGGTCTGGATGTACGCTACTCCCAAGGTATTCTGTCCAATCTCTGAACTAGGCGTCCTGCTCCAGGAAACCTGCCTGGATTAATCCAAGTCATTGAGCACCCAAGGAACCATCTCTGATGCATCTTTTCCTTGACTTAATTGTCCTTTAGTTGCAGCTGTACATAACTATCGTGTTTTTCTACTTTAGCCTATTTTATTTGCTTTGTAGTGTTTTCTATTATATTTTTATGCAATTTTTCCTCTGCCAAACCAACAGCTCCTCACGGCAATGGCTGTGCCTTCCAATCTGACTGGGGGCCCTCTCAGCACAGCATCTGGGCTCTCTCCTCCCCATCATGTCAGGAGGCCTCTGAGGTCGAAGAAATGGGTCTGTCCTGCATCACATTCTCTGGGGTTGAGTATGAGGTTCTGTGTGAGGGGATGGGATAACAGGACTCCCCTTTTCCACCTGTCACCATCAGGGCATCAGACCCTCAGTGTGCCACAGTGCAACATGCGAGCCATGAAAGGTTCCTGAATCCCTGGGCCCCCCCCCCCCCCCCATCACCAGCTGCTGCCTTCCTCCCCCCTCACAGCATTAGCTGGCTTCCCTACCTGGTATAATAGGTGACCAGGGAGGCATTCCTGAGCCCCCAGGGGCTGAAGCGCACAGTATAGTTTACAATCTTGACCGTGGTGAAGTCTGGCTTTTTCCACCGAAGCCAAATGGATGTGGAGCTGTTTGATTCCGCATGGACGTGGGCGGGGGGCAAGGGTGGTCCCCTCTGGATGGGCAAGTCTGGAAGGTGAAAACAGAGTGTGGGGAAAGGAGGGAGGATACTCATCCCGAAATATGGGCAGTGGCTTGAAGTTCCCAAGGCACTTATTTTCACCCTCTCTCCTCCGATCCTGAGAGTTGAGTAGCATCATTCCCACTTCACAGATGAGGAAACTGAGGCTCCCAAGAATTTAAGTGATTTTGGCCAAGGTCATATAAATAGCAAACTGTATATAGAGAGGCAACAAATCATGGCAATTAAAAGCAGATTTTAGAGCCAGGTTACCCTGGTTCCAATTCTAGCTCTGCCATGTACTAGCTGTGTGACCTGGGAGAAGTTACTTAATCTCTCTCTGCCTCCAGTCCTTATTCTGTCAGTGGAGCTGATAATATACTTACCTCATAGTATTGTTATGAGGACTAAATCAGTTACTATTTGTTAAGTACACAGAAAAGCATCTTGCAGGGGCGCCTGGGTGGTTCAGTCGGTTGAGCGTCCGACTTTGGCTCAGGTTATGATCTCGCGGTCCGTGAGTTTGAGCCCCGCATCAGGCTCTGTGCTGACAGCTCAGAGCCTGGAGCCTGCTTCAGATTCTGTCTCCTTCCCTCTCTGCCCCTCCCACACTTGTGCTCTGTCTCCGTCTCTCAAAAAGAAATAAATGTAAAAAAAAAAGTTTTTTTAATAAATAAAAAAAAGCATCTTGCATATTGTTATGAACTGAATGTTTGCGCCTCCTGCCAGATTCCTATGTTGACATTTGAACACATGGTGGTGCCCTCATGAATGGGATTATTTCCTATCTTTGTCCATCCAGGCTGCTATAACAAAGTACCATAGACTGGGTGGCTTATAAACAAAAGAAATTTATTTCCCACAGTTATGGAAGCTGGAGTCTAAGATCAGGATGCCAGCATGCTCAAGGTCTAGTAAGAGCCCATTTGTGGGCTAAAGACTGCCGACTTCTCCTTGTATGATATTATGGAGGACAGCAGAGAGAGGAAGTGAGCTCTCTTGTGACATTTATAAGGGCATCAATCCTATTCATAAGGGCCCCACCCTCACGACCTCATCTAATCCTATTTACCTCCTAGTACATCATATTGGAGGGTAGAGTTTCAATGTATGAATTGTGGGGATGGAGGGGGAGACACAGACTTTCAGCACATAACTGCCCTTGTAGAAGAACCCCCCAGAGAGCCCTCCAGCCCCCTTTCTGCCATGTGAGGATACAGTGAGAAGATGGCCTATGGTCTGTAAGCCAGAAAGTGGACTCTCACTAGACACTGACTCTACTGGCACCTTGACCTTGGACTTCCTCCAGAACTGTGAAAAATAAATGGTTGTTTAAGCCACTCGGTCTGGGGTATTTTTATTATAGCAGCCATATAGTGAGTACTATAGGATGATGTGTTCATTACATAAGTATAAAATAAAATAAACTCCATGACAGCAGGTACCTTATCTGTATTGTTCATCACTAAATTTCCAGAACAGGGCAGTAGACACTTAGTAAAATATTTGCTGAATGAACAAACTGGAATTAGAACTCAGGTCTCCTGGCTCCTGGTTGAGGGCTCCTTTGACAAAACCGCATGGTTAAAAATCAGCCTGGGAAGTTAGGGGTGAGGGGATCCATGATGGGCACCCAAGGTGGCCCATACAAAGCCAGTAGGCAGTGTACTACAGTGGAAAGACTCGTTGGGCAGCCAAGAGTCCTGGTTCTAGTCTAGGCTCTGTGCAACCTTGGGTAAAGTCCCTTTACCTCTCTGAGTCTCACTTTCCTGATGGGCCACATAAGGACACTCTCTCTGCCTAGAGTGGAGGGATAATCTGATAGGCAGTGTGATGTAGGTGGATGTATTTTAAAACATGTTTAGGGGCACCTGGGTGGCGCAGTCGGTTAAGTGTCCGACTTCAGCCAGGTCACGATCTCGCGGTCCGTGAGTTCAAGCCCCGCGTTGGGCTCTGATCGCGGTCCGTGAGTTCGAGCCCCGCGTCGGGCTCTGGGCTGATGGCTCAGAGCCTGGAGCCTGTTTCCGATTCTGTGTCTCCCTCTCTCTCTGCCCCTCGCCCGTTCATGCTCTGTCTCTCTCTGTCCCAAAAATAAATAAACGTTGAAAAAAAAATTAAAAAAAAAAAACAACACACGTTTAAAGGTCAAACAGGGTCAGGAGTCACCGATTAACCATAGGGTTTCTCTCTGTCCAAACCTTCCAAATTAGCACTGCTCGTGGGTAATAAAAATACGGCAGCAGTCCTGAAAGTGCACCAACTGAAGCTTCTGTCTGCGACAGAGGCTGTCTGGGGCTAGAAGAGGACCTCTGAGCCTAAGAGCATGGGTCTGGGGGTAGCTGAGGCTACCGGATGGCCTGACCACCAAGGCTGGCCCAGAGGGAAGGGAAAGGAAGAAGCACACAGACCCTTCAACAGAGCCCTCCTCCCTCTTCTTCCCCAGCCCCCTCACCTGGCGTGGGAGCTTTTTCTGTCTTGCCCTTCCACACCGCTGCGTAGCCGTCCTCATGTTTGTTGAATGCCACAAGCTTCACCTCGTACAGCCGGCCAGGGGCTGGGGAAGGTCATGGGGGTCACTGGCTAGAGGGACCTCTGAGGCCACTCTTTCATCCCCAGATAGCACTCCATTCCCAACTCCCATGCCCAGCTTGCCCTGTTCCCAACCAAGGCTATGCCCATCTCCCTCCCTCCCCCAGCCCTCCTCACCTAGCTGGGTCAGCTCATACTGCTTCACTTTCTTCTTGAGCCGGACAGGCCCCACATCCCAAGCCTGGTCTCCGCGGCCCCCTGGGGGACTCTCACCATTGGCCTCCTCCTCCTCGGCTCCCACCTCCCGCCAGTACAGTTTGTAGCCAGAGATCTGGGCAGGGTGAGGGGGAGGCTGCCACGACACGACCAGGGACTCCATTCTTGCCCGCACCTTCAACTCTGCAGGGGCAAAAGGGACTGGGGGCAAAGGAGCAGGATGGGAAGAAGGGGTGAGAGAATGGAAGTGAGGAGAAGGAGGCCAGAGGTGGGAGAGGGGGACAGGTAGGAGGAAGCCAAAAGCAGGAAGCCAGCACTGAGTGAGAGCCTTGCCAGCCTCCTTGCAGTGAATGGACACTCAGCCACCACTCCTTGTGCCAGGCCTGAGCTCAGTCTGGAGGTGAACTCCCTATTCTACACACCCAGAGTGCTGAGAATGTAGGCGTGTCTCCTGAGCGCTTGCAAAGAGGTCAGCGAGGAGCACCTCTGGGGCGGTGCTGATAGTACCTGGCACAGCGTAGGGCTCCATAATTCTTCTGAAGGAATGCATGCGTGGATACTGACAGGCAAGGGGGTCGCAGGGGTTGCTGGGATTGGAAAGGAGGGAAGGAGCCATTGGTGTGGGGAGCCGACGTGGAGCCTAAGAGTGGGGCTTTATTATGTGTCAGACACTGTTCTAAGCCCTTTGTACATGTGTTTTATTCTCACAACCCTACAAAATAACAAAAATACTACTGTCTCCATTTTACAGATAAGAAAACTGAGAAGTTAAGCGACTTGCCCAAGGTCACACAGAGAGCATATGTGCCAGGTTCTGTCTGCACTTAATCACTGTATTATTGGGCCTCTTGACAAAACCAACAATCACGATCAGTGAAAAGCAACTAGTATTTAACAAGCTCTTATTACGTGCTGAACACTGGTTCACAATGCATTATTAAACCCTATGCCACCTTTGGCAATAAATGAAGCCTCAGAGTTGTGAATGGTTTGTCCAAGATCACGCAGGTAGAAGGGACACTGTAGCCCAGGCGTGTCTGTAAAGGCCAGCCCTTCGCCTCTACACCTGGCCTCCCTTACCCCTCAAGCAGGGGGAGCCATGGAAGGTCTCTGAAGGAGAGGGTGTTTGGGCCTGAGTTCTAAGGGCACACATACACTCCAGTCACACACACACACACGGTCCTTCCTCTCCCCTCAGACCCCCTACCGTGGCTCTGGTTGTGCATACTGGGCGTCCTGTGCTGCATCCACTGGGAGGGCGTCCCATAGCCAGCCCCTGTGCCAGCCGAAATCCGTACTCGATACACTTTGTTGGGCTGAAGCGAACTCAGCGTAAACTGTGTTTCATTCCCAGGCACCTCGGTGGAGAAAACCTGATCTGCTGGGACAGGAAACATGGCTACTGGGTGGCCACCTAAAGACCAGGACCCCTAAACTCCCCTATACCAACTATTCCACCCCAGATCGTGGTTTCTCGGCGCCCATGGGAGCCTGAGGCCCTCTCAGCACTGACCCCTCAGTCATGGCTCCAGAGCTGACTCCTGGGCCTCCAGCCTGGGCTGACACAGGCCATCAGCCTCAGCTCAGAGTGAAGAGAACCACAGCATGCACTCCGCACTTCCCCGTGAACTGTCTGTGACCATCCCTTCATACACACTCTAGGACGCAGGCACAAGGGGTTGTCTCTGAAGGCCATCAGGTACCGCCTGCCTTCTGGAGCTCTGATGACCACCCCAAGCCCCCTTCCTCATGCTTCCCTCCTTTCTCACTCTCACCCCGCCCCCCCCGCCCAGCCACCTGCCTTCTCCTAACTCTTTATCCCTTTCACACCCTCTCCCCTAGATCATCTACATCTGCCCTAACATGCCGTCCCCAATGCTCTGTTTCCCCAATCCCACAAGCACACCCTCCACCTCCTGTTCTCTCATCTGCTTTTTGAGCTGGAAGGGACCCCAGGGATTATCTAGGCTACCTGCCTCATTTCACAGATGAGGAAACCGAGGCAGGGACATAACCGCATTACCCACTATAGCTGTAGAGGAGGTGGGGCTAGAACCCAGGCCTCTGTCTTGAGCTTTGCCTCTTTACCTTTCCCTACACCTAGCCCACACTCCTCTTGTCCAAGTTCATTATTTCCCTACTCTACCTCTCTGCTTAATTTCCTCAGACTCTCCCCACATCTACTTGGGTCCTCAGCTGCTCTGGCCAGCCCTTCACATCAATAATTCCCAGGCAGGTGGAGCCCTGCCCCCACTTACCTTCCTTTCCCAAACCGTACTCTATCTTGTACTTCACCACCTGCCCATTGCTCAGGCTGGGAGGCAGGGGCAGCCACGCCACCCTGATGTCCAAGGGGTTGGGGCTGGACAGGGAGAGCTGGGGTGCTGCACTGGGGACTGAGACAGAAGAACATCAGCGTGAGCTCTGCTCCACCGACGTGGAAGGTGAGGCCCAGGAGCGATCAGAGACTTGCCCAGGTCACACAGCAAGTCAGAAGTAGGCCCGGGATCTGAGGGAGGAAAGGGAGCCTCTCAGGGGAGCCCCAAACTGGAGATGAGGGGACATCCTTCCCACCCTAAAGCCAGAAAAAGGTTTGGGGCACAATCTTCCACATCCAATGGTTCCATGTCACTGGCCCCTGCCTGACTGGATGGTACATGGATATTGAGAAGGGCCATATGACAGAGGGAATCAAGACCCGTCCTCAAGTCCCAGCTGTACTACTGACCTTGGGCAAGTCACTCTCATTTTCTGGGCCTCAGTTTCCTAAACTGTAAATTGGGAAGAACCACTACCCACCCCCTTACAGGGCACAAAAGATGACATGAGGCAGGTAAAAGTCCCTTGGCAAACACTAGTAAAGAGAAGCCAAACTACCATCCCCAGGGAATTCTCTGGAACCCAAGGGGCCCACTGCAGGTTTAGAGGCCCTACCATCATCCAGTGTGTGGACCAGTGCTGGGGTAGAGGTGCGGCTGGCCCCCAGCTGGGAGTAGGCCACCACGTAGAACTCATAATCGGTGTTGGGTTCCAGGTCTCGAACCTGCAGCTCTGTGGTGTCATTGTTCACTGCAAACTGGTATTCCACATTGTCCATGCCTGGGGCAGTGACATAGGGACAAAGAGACTGTCACAAGGCCACCCCCAGAGGCCTACCCCCAGCTGGAGGTTATCTAGGGATCCTTCACATTGCCCCAGTCTCTGGAATAGTCTGTAACTAAATCATCAGATCATCTGAGCCCCCGAGTATAGACTTCCCTGGCTTCTAGTCCCACTGTATTAATTCCTCTGCTGGCTAGGAAGTTCTTTCTGTTGTCTAATTGAAGTGACTCCTGCTGCAGCTATAATAAACTGGCTCCAGGAGTGCCAAGGCATTTTTCTCTGGGAGGAAAAGCATCCTCTTCCTCCTCTATCATAACAGGCTGTGGCTGAGGGGGAAATGTGCTGCACACTTTGACCTTTCCAGCACATCGAAGAGTACTGCCTAGCCCATACCTATGCGGGTCTGTTCCGCGGGCTCCCACCCCATCCCACCCTATCCCCAAAGGTACCCACACGGCAACCCATCCGTCTTCTAACCTGTGCCCCCCTCAGGGCGCCCCCACGCGGGTCCCCAGCAGACTTACCGCGTGCCTTCTGGTAGTGGAGGGAGAAGCCGATGATCTGCTCGCTGTGCAGCTCGGGCCGCTCCCAGGCCACGAGCACGGTGGAGCTGCTCAGCGGCGTGGCCGTGACCCGCGTGGGGGCGCTGGGCAGCCCCTCGCGCACCACGACGGCCAGGGGCGCGGCGGCGCACGCGGTGCCCGCGCTGTTCTCCGCCACGCACTGGTAGTAGCCGGCGTCCTGCAGGCCGATCTGCGTGATGACCAGGCTGCCGCCGCCGCTCTGCACCTTGACGCGCCCGTTGGGCCGCAGCGGCGCCCCGTCGTGCAGCCAGCGCAGCGCGGGCCTGGGCTCCCCGGCCGCTCGACACACGAAGCGCGCCGTGCTCGCCCGCGTCCGCGACAGCGCCTCGGGCGCCTGCGAGATGGCAGGGGCCGCTGGGGGCGGGGAGGGGGACGCTGACCGCGCGCTCCGGCCGTCAGGGGTCCTGCCGCCTCTCTGCATACCCCGGCCGGCTGCCGCGCGCCCTCCGCTCGCTCCAGCCTCTCCCTGAGTCACCCCGCCCCCAAATACTCGCATGTGGCGCCGCCCTACCCCTGCTCCTCCCGCGTTTACCCCAGCCCCACGCCGCCAGCCTACTCCTCCTCGCTCCCAGTTGTCCCCGGGCCTCCCGAGCCTCCCCTAAGTACCCTAGCTCCTCCTGGGCCTCACCCCTCTCCCTCAGGTACCGTAACCTCTTCCCCTCCTTCCACTGTCTCCCACACCGGGGAGACTCCCCCCCTCGCCACAGTTATCCCAGCCCGGAGCAACTCCGTCCCCCAGTTTTTCGTGCCACCCAGACGACCCCACCGTCTCCCCTAACCCTCAGTCCTACCCCTCCCCCCATTACCTAGGTCCCGCTCAGACCACCCGTCGCCACCCCCCCAATCACTCAAGTCATGCCCTAACCACCCCTCTCCTTCTCTCCCTGCCTCAACTTCCCCCACCCCTTCCTCCTATCGTTTCCCGCTCTTCCCCTCCTCCGGCTGTCCCCTGCACTACCCACCCTAACGAAGGGTCCCTCCCCTGAGCGCCGTCCCCCTAGCTCCAGCCCTTTTCCATCTTCCAGGGTCGCCCCTCAGTCCTTCTAACACACCCGTTTGCCCATCCCCCCTCCCCATCTTCCCTTCCCCACTCCTAGCTGACCCGGCCCAATCCGGTCCCCCTGAGCCCCTACTAGCGGGTCCTCCACCCCGCCTCACCCAGCACGCGGAGCTCGGCGGCGGCCGTGGCGAAGTCGCGCGTGCGGGGCTTGTTAGCGCGGCAGACGTAGACGCCCGAGTGTCGGGGCTGCGCGCTGCTGATTAGCAAGTTGGTGCGGCCCAGGACGATGACATCCGTGGAGATGGGCTTCCCGTCTGGGGGAGGAGAGGAAGAGCGGTGGAGGGGGGCACCGAGGACTGGCCCTCCATCTACTCCTTGCATCCGGGGGCCCCTCGACACGGGACTAAGAGAACACAGCAGTCCCTTATTGGAATTTCAGTTCCTCCCCTTGCTAGACAAGTGACCCTCTGTGAACCCTAGTGTCTCTGTCTGTAAAATGGGGAGACAGATAGCCCCTAGCTGGAAGGGCTGCTCTGGGGGTGAAACAAATAAGGTTTGTGAGAAGGCCTGGCACAATGCAGGCACCTAACAGGTGCTCAGTAAACTAGTCACTGATTACCGTTACCATTATTATTAAATTCATTTCTCTCAAGAACTCACTCCTCCTGTATGGTGTTGTCCCAATATTATGATGAAGATACGGCTGGAAAGATCTGACCAAAGCCAAAGATTTGAACATACAGAAGACTTTTATCTTGATATGAAATGAGAACCATTTTAAAAGCCTATGCTTTAGGGGAATCTGGGTGACTCAGATCCCCCCCCCCCCCCCCCTTGCTACCCATCTCTGAGTATTCAGGTCAGATCTCCAGTTCCTCTGAGCCCAAGCCCATATTACTCGTGCTGACAGACAGTGCAAAGAGTCTGCTTGGAATTCTCTCTCTCTCTCTCTCTCTCTCTCTCTCTCTCTCTCTGCATGCCCACCCTCAAATAAATAAACTTAAAAAAAAAAAAAAAAAAAAGAAGCCTGTGCTTTATGAACATGAACAGAAAATCTGGAGAAAAAGTGCAAATGACCAAGCAATACAAAAAAGTGTTCAGCTTTACATAATCAAAGAAATGCACATCAAAACACAGATGTTAATTTTCACCTATCAAATTAGGAAAGTTAAAAAAAAATTTAATGTTTATTTATTTATTTATTTATTTTTTGAGAGAGAGAGAGAGAAACAGAGCATGAGCAGGGGAGTGGCAGAGGGAGAAGGAGACAGAATCTGAAGCAGGCTCCAGGCTCTGAGCTGTCAGCACAAAGCCCCACAAAGGGCTCAAACTCATGGACTGTGAAATCATGACCTGAACCGAACACGTGAGCCAAAGTCGGATGCTTAACCAAATGGGCCACCCAGGTGCCCCAAATTAGGAAAGGTTTTTTAAAAGGTAAGCTGCAATGCCAGAGAAAGGGTAAATGCTAATGGGGTCTCCACTTTGACTTTGACCCAGGGATCCCATTTGTGGGCAGCTGTCCTGGGGAGATATGAACAGGGCTGATCACTGTAATGTTAACTGTAATAGTGGATAACTGGAAAGGACTTAAAAATTCAACAGTAGAAACTGGCAAGTTGTATTACGGCTATATTCAAATGATGGAATATAGTCATTAAAATTACTTTTTGGGGGGCACCTGGCTGGCTCAGTCGGTAGAGCATCTGACCCTTGGATCCCAGGGTCATGAGTTCAAGCCCCATGTTGGGCATGGAGTCTTAAAAAATAAAATAAAATTACTTTTTGAAAAAGTTTTAGAGATGGAAAAATGCTTATGATATGCTGTGGACTGAAAGTAAGATTTGGAACTACTCCCAATTTTAGGGAAAAATGCACATATGCATAGAAGAAAATCTGGAAGAAAATACACTTGTATGTTAACAATTTTAATCTCTCAAAGAGAGATTAAATGGAATGTTTTCTGTTTCTGCTTTTCCCTAGTTTTCTACAATGAACACACACAACTTTTGTAATCAGAAGAAAACAAAACAAAAAGCTATGTCTCTTCCCTGACTTTGTGGAGTAAGTGTCTAGGAAAGGAACAGTGACCAGCATATCAGGAAGGAAATCCTTTTCCAGGCTTTCTCTTCCCAGGCTCTGTCCAGGAGTGCTATTAGCAGACTTTCTGTAAGGGAGCTCCCATAGGTATCAGGATTCTCTGGGACAGCAATTCTCAAACCCTCACTGTGTACTCGAATCACAGAATCTCAAGGAAACTTGTTAAGATGCAGAGGCCTAGGGCATGCCCCAGACTCTGCATTTCTAAGTAGGTGCAGGTGGTAGGTCCAAAGACCACACTTTCAGCAGCAAGGACCTAGGGCAGTGGTTAAACATTAAGATTCCTGGTTCACAAGTGACCAGGCATGAAGGGAGGGAGTCTGCAGTTTTAATAAGCTCCCTGGGTCATCATGATACAAAGTCAGGATTTGAGAAACACTGATATTAGAATTTCTGGGTGATACCACAGGCTCATTCCAATAATAGTATGAGGGTCCTGCTGACACCAGGATCCCAATAACTAAGTAAGTATCACAAATCCAATGAGGTGTTCAGGTTGGGGAGGCCCAAAGACACCAGCACTGTTACATCTCACCAGCTTGGGTGGGGGGATACATACTTTTTATTTTTTTTTATTTATTTTTCATTTTTAAAATATTTGCTTATTTTTGGGAAAGCACAAGCAGGGCAGGAGCAGAGAGAGGGGGCAGAGGATCCAAAGCAGTCTCTGAGCTGCAGCCTGACAGCAGCAAGATGGACGTGGGACTTGAGCTCACAAACTGTGAGATCATGACCTGAGCTAAAGTCTGACGCTCAGCTGACTGAGCCACTCACATGTCCCTGGGGGGCGGGGGGATACATACTTGTTCATTTATTACTTTTCCTTAAACTCTATGTATACATTACATTCTTTCTTTCTTTCTTTCTTTCTTTCTTTCTTTCTTTCTTTCTTTCTTTCTTTCTGGGAGCACACACACACAGGGGAGGGGCAGAGAGAGAGGCAGAAAATCTTAAGCAGGCCTCACACAACATGGGGCTCAATCTCACGACCATGAGATCATGACCTTAACTGAAATCAAGAGTCAGACACTTAACTGATTGAGCTACCTAGGCGCCCCGATTGCATACTCTTTTGAATGTGAGATACAAACTTATGTAAAGGAGCCAGTGTAGGGTAGTAGACTGAGTCAGGGAAGAAAGGTAAAGAGGGCAGGGTTTAAGACTTACTTCTGCTATCAATTTGAGGTAGGCCACTTCTCATTGACAATGGAAACAAAAATAATCCTTGCTTTTCTTCCAGTTAGGACTGTAGGAAGTGGTGTACCAGAAAGAGAACAGGCTCTAAAGTTTGGGTCTTGGCTCTCTGAGCCTCAGCTTCCTCATCTGTCCACTGGAAATAATAGTCCTCACCCCTATCCCCTTCAAAGGGCTCTTCCAGGCTCTGGCAGGAAGTGCTCAGCAGACTGCAAGGTGATGTTTGGCCAGCATCTTCATTACCCTGAGAGCAACACAGTCCTACCTGGCATTTATCACTTGCTGCCCAATACAGGCAAACCTCTTTTCATGGTGTGTGTTTCATCACCCTCACCCAGACTATGATGAGTTCAGACCACAGAGTCCCTGTCTGTCTCATCTGATTTTTTAAATTCACTGTGCCCAGCGTGAAGCCAAGCATACACGGCAGCAGCTTTGCAGACCAGCAGTGGGGGCCTGGTTTCACCTGATTTGATGGCTGTGCGGCACCCTTCTAGCTCTCACACATTCACTTGCAATACTGTTGAGACCACCCTAAATAGGGTCTCAATAATGGTTACGTGAGTGGCAGAACCAGAGTGTTTCATAGAGGAAATGCACTTCAAAGACTGATAATTAAGTTTGTCCAGGTTTCCCCCATCCCCATACTCGGCCCTAGAAGAGGAGTTCCCACCACACCAAAGGTAGGTGACTATAGAGTGGTCACCCTTATAGCTTCCCAACTTGGGGACACATGAGATGCTACCCCCTCCTTTCCCATGACCTTGAGTCCCCTCCCTCCACTTACCCTGTCGGACCCAGGACACGAAAGGGGTGGGGTCAGCTGAGGCCACACATTCCATCACCACGCTCTGGCCAGAAACCACTGTGGTGTTCTCGGGGGCTGCCACGATGACCACGTCCTGCCCCCTGGTGGACGCCAGGGACCCTGGAGAGAGGGCAGGCCAGCAAGCAGCCTTACTATTAGGTGTCCATACATGCAGTACCTCACCTGATGCTCAGAATCACCTGGTGAAGCAGGTGGGGCAGAGAACAGCCAGGGTTTCATCTGACAGGTGGCAAAAGCAGCCACATAGTTCCGCAGAGCTCTTTCTCCTGGAGCTTGGAGAGGAAAAACCTGGCCTCTGGCACACCACCGCCATTCTTGCCTGCCAAATCAAACCCTCCCTCCAGGCAGAGGACCATCAGGGTCATGAGAAGACTTGGAGCCTGGAGGTGGAGTCAACAGTCATAGTTTCTGGTTCCAGCACTGCCATTAAGGCACTGTGTGACCTTAGGCAAGTCCTTTCTTCAAAGGGCTTTGGGTTCCCCTGTGGGAAAGGTAGAAGGTAGGGGTCGGCAGTTTGGCAGCTCCCTGAGCATGGATTCTCTGCCAAGTTCTCACTGTGACCCTGGCCCCCTGGGTCAGCATGGCGAATACCTGGTTTGTCCAGCAGGTGGAGGCAGAGACCCTGGGCACAGAGAGTGAACCAGACTTAAACCTGCTTACCTGAGCGGGGGATTTGAGATGGGGGGATGGGAAGAGATGTGCAGAAGTGCAGGGTTCGGGGGAGATGTCATGGCAAAGGGAGGCAAGTGAAAGGTCCTTCAGGGAGGCCTGAACTAAGATCTGTTGTGCACCTGCTGGGTGCCAGGCGCTTTCCACTCTTATCTCAGCTATTCTCACAACCTCCCTGAGCTAGACATTTGATAACAGCCCAGGGTCACATAGATGGCAAGTAGAGAGGCCAGGATTCAAACCAGGTCTTTCCGACCCCAAAGCCTGTGCCTTTCCTACTGTGTTACACTGGAACAGGAACTTTTCGGAGAAATGGAGAGGACAGGAGCACCAGACTGCAGGGAACCAGATTCTCGGTGCCCAGCCAATCCCCTAATGCCCAGAGTCCTCAGGAGACACAGAAAGGCAGGGACCATGGCTTCAGGGCACTGACACACCCTCTTCAGATGCCTCCCTTCCCCACCTCTGTCCCCAGCCCGGGATGTTCCACCCAACCCAAGGGAACACAGAGCCTCTGCAGGAAGAGAGCTGGACTGGGAGTCTGGAGTCTCGGGTTCCAGCTCCAGTTCTATTTCTGACTTGCTGGGTGGTACTCCACACCTGCCCACTGGGACTGATACACTGTCACCTATTTGAAGGCAGAGCTTGGACCTCATGAGGTGCCTCCCAGCTCTGAGGTGGCTGGTCCAGAAATCCCCAGGTTTCCCCATCCAGCCTGCCCCCTTACCTCTGGGGGCCACACTGAGCAGGGCCTCCTGGCTGAAGCGCCGGTGGACTGAGTTGGTGGCCACGCAGCGGTAGGAGCCTGTGTCACTCTCCTGAATGTCCAGGATCTGGAGGACCCCGTTGGGAAGAATGATGAGCCTTGGGAAGGGGGAGAGGGCACCTATGAGGTGGGCAGGAGCTCTGCAGGGAGCTGTCCTAGGTCCACCTCCCTCTCCAGCCTGAACTACTGACAGCATTTTACTTTCAAGCCTCTCTTATAATAAAAAAAATGCAAATTAAAGCTGTAAGATGCCATTTTCACCTATCAGGTTGGCAAAGATCACTTTGGGTGTTTTCTAACACCCTCTGTGGATGAGGTAATGGAGGGAAGACACTCCTGTGTCGATCGCCATGCCAATGGATACAGCTTCCTTCAAGGGCAAGCTGGTAAGATCTTAAAATCAACCCTGCACATGCCTTTTGACCCAGCAACGCCACTTCGAGGACTCTATCCCACAGATATTCTCATATATGTACACAAAAACATGTTTAATGATATTCACTCCAGCACTGTAACTACAAAGGCAGAAGACTGGAAACGATCCAAGTGTCCATCTGTAGGGTGGGAACTAGCTAAATCGGTTTGAGTACATTCACACAATGGAATGCTAGGCAGCTGTTAAAAAGGAGACAGCTCAGAGTGCCTGGGTGGCTCAGTCGGTCAAGCATCTGACTTTGGCTTGGGTCATGACCTCATGGTTTGTGAGTTCAAGCCCCGTGTCTGGCTCTCTGCTGGAAGCTCCGAGCCTGCTTCAGATCCTCTGTTCCCTTCTCTCTGACTCTCCCCTGCTGGTTCTCTCTCTCTCTCTCTCTCTCTCTCAAAAATAAATAAACATTAAAAAAAATACTTAAAAAGAAAAAAGGAGGCTGTTCCATGTGTGCTGAAACAGGACAATCTCCAAAGCATGTTTGGTGCACAACAGTGTGTGAGGATATGCACACTTAATATGCTTGCACTGAAGGTCCCTGGTAACGGTGGTTGTCTCCAGGGAGGGGACCTGGGATTCTGGGAGCTGACAATGCGAGACTTACTTTATATTACACAGCCTTCTATACAGTGTCAATTTGTTTACTCCCTGCCTATGTTACCTCCTCCCTCCCTGATAAAAATCCATTTTATTCATACAGTGTCATCTGAGCCAAAACAATCTGAAGAGATAGAGGACATCACAACCTCCATTTTACTGGTGACAAAACTAAGGCTCAGAGGCAGCAGGGTATTTTCCCAGGGTCTCACAGCTGGAGCAGAGTTAAAACTTGAACCCAGGTCTTCTGATTCCAAATCCCATGTTCTTCCTACCTGCCTGTCTCACCAGCCATTAAATGGTTGAGAATACCCGTGGAAGGGACAAGGTCCCTAGCAAGCCCCAGTCAATGCATACATTACTCACGAGGGGTAATGGATGAAGGGGGTGTTCTCTGCCCTGTTGGTTAGAGGCTGAAAAGCCACTCAGATTAGAAAGGCTCAGAGACCTTGCTTGAGAGATAATGCAATCCGGGCAAGGCAGTGTCCATGGGTCTGGGGGGGGGGGTGGTAGGCAGAATGGGCTCTGGCCCAAGTAGCAGGGGAATGCGTCTTCCTGAATCCTCCAACCGTGATCCTTGAAGGGTCAGCTCAAGGTTGAGAGTCCTAGTTTCTCCATAGAGCAAATGGTGCTGGTCCCCGGATGTAGACTGGGCCAAAGTTAGAGAGGGAGTGGGGCAGCAGTGTGGTTGATGAAGGTCCCTTGGCTCACTGGAAAATGGGCTATGAAAAAATCTAAACACAGGAGAGGGGGACTGGTTCAGGGTATTGGGAGAAAACTCTGGCCACAGGCCTAGAGACCTACTATGGCCCAAAGACTTAGAGAAAAAACATAAACCTACTTTACTCCTTCCCTCATTCCATGGGTAAGCCCACCTCTGCCCCAGTATCTTACCCTCAGCTCCAGCAGCTGCCCATGTCAGTGCTGGGGCCAGCAGGGGAAAAGGGACATGGAGGCAAAGGGTAGTTGGAGGTAAAATCCTGGGCCAGGAAAATTTGATGGGAAAGGACCAGTGGGGAAGGACAAGCAGAACCCATCTGGGAAACAACACCTCTATCCCCATCCAGGTTTCCTCCACTTAATATACTCTGCCTCCAAGATCCTTCCTCTTCCTTCACTCTAGCTAGCTGAACTTGCCTGCAGAGTTTCTGCCAGACCAGTTCACTTTTCCTAACCCCAAAGTTTCCAAGGCTTTCCACGGAAATTGTGCTTCGTGTACCCAAGAGCCAAGACCTCCTTGGACAAGTAACATTTCCTTATTTATGTATGGGAAGGAAGGAAGGAAGGAAGGAAGGAAGGAAGGAAGGAAGGAAGGAAGGAAGGAAGGAAGGAAGGAAGGAAGGAAGGAAGGAAAGAAGGAAGGAGGGGGGAGGGAGGAAGGGAGAGGGACGAAAACAGAGGGAGGGAGGAAGGAAGGAAAGAAGGGATATCTTTCCTCACATGTGGTGCTGTCACTGCAGCCAACAAAAGCTGGATGGAACCACGTTTGTGTTCATCTAAAATCTTTTCTGTTTTGTTAAAATCTTTTTCTGTCCTTGGAAGTATGTGCAAGATATTTTGGTTAGTGGGGGGAAAAAGTCACAAAACAGTGTTTTTAGGAAGCAGTTCTATTTTTGGAAAACAGATAAATGATATGTTAGGATATGCTCAGAAAAAGTCAAGGATGGTGAAGCTTAACATCATTCAAGGAGATTTTTCTCTGGCAGTGTGATTACTGGAAATTCTTATTTGTTGTGTTTTAAAAAAAAATTTGGGGGGTGCGCCTGAGTAGCTCAGTCGGTTACACATCTGACTTAGGCTCAGGTCATGATCTCAAGGTTTGTGAGTTCAAGCCCCACGTTGGGCTCTGTGCTGACAGCTGAGAGCCTGGAGCCTGCTTCGGATTCTGTCTCCCTCTCTCTCTGCCCCTTCCTTGCTCACATTCTGTCTGTCTCTGTCTCTCTCTCTAAAATAAATAAACATTTAAAAAATTAAAAAATAAAAATTTTGAATATTTATTAGTTTGGAAATATAAAACTTTTAAAAATTTAAATTGGGAAAAACATACGCCCTTGTACACTTTGTTTTAAAACTCCAAGCTCTAACATAGAAGCAGCTGTGACATAGTGGGGAGAACCCGTTCCAGCATATGTGACTTTACCAAGTGATATCATATGTCTGGGCCTCAGCTTTCTCATCTGAAAAATGGGTTAAATAATTCTGTCCTGCCTCCTTCACAACCCTGACCCTAATGTGTTATTATCTCACATTAAAAATATTATCTATGAATCACAAATTCTAAACACATACTTACAATGATAGAAACTATACCCATATTTTAAAAGACCGGGAGGGAATAATCACAATAGTAACAACTGTCTGTGTTCAGTTGGTGGATGACTTTTTCCCATTAAATTGGTATGTTTTATTATTTCATTTTATTTTTTTAAGTTTATTTATTTATTTTGAGAGACAGAGAGAGAGAGAGAGAGAAAGAGAGAAAACAGTGGGGGAGGGGCAGAGAGAGAGGGGGACAGAGGATCCAAAGCAGGCTCTGCGCTGACAGCCAAGTCCGATGTGGCGCTAGAACTCACGAACTGTGAGATCATGACTTGTGCCGAAATCAGACGCTTAACTGCTTGAGCCACCCAGGTGTCCCTTTATGTTTTATTATTTTAAAATCAATTCAAATTTCATATAAAAATAGCTACTTACAGAATGAAAAGCAACCTCTCTCCAAAAGGAAAGGATCATTCTCTTTCCAAGCTTGAGCTTCAGCCTGCTGCCCCACCTCCAAAAGGCTACTTGGAACCAGGGATTTAAAAATACAGTAGAGGGACACCTGGGTGGCTTAGTCGGTAGAGCATGGGACTCTTGATCTCCGGGTCATGAGTTGGAGCCCCACGTTGGGTGTAGAGATTACTTAACAACAACAAAAAGAACATAGTAGAAATGACATAGCTGCTCTGAATTTCATAAGGGCCAAGGAGCCCCGACCCTGAGCTCTTCAGAGATCCACCTAGAGAAACGGGACACTGGCCAAGGGTCACTTGAGGTTGACAGACACCCTGGGCACTGGGAGATGGGTAGGGCAGGAGACTGGACTAGGGATCCTAAGGTATTGAGGTCCATTAGTGTCATGTTTTATTTATTTATTTGTGTATTTAAATGTTTATTTTTGAGAGAGAGACAGAGTGTGAGCAGAGGAGGGGCAGACACACACACACACACACACACACACACACACACACACAGAATCTGAAGCAGGCTCCAGGCTCTGAGCGCTCAGCACAGAGCCGGACACGGGGCTTGAACTTGTGAACTTCAAGATCATGACCTGAGCTGAAATCGGATGCTTAACCAGGCGGTGCCACGTTTTTCAAGTGTGAGTGGTGATAACAACATTATTTCATGTGGCTCCAGACACAGACACACATTTTTTATTCCAGCGGTTATGTATTTATTTTTATGGCTACCTTCTATTTATGTTAAGCGTTGCCTGTTTTCCTTTTTACTGCGGGGAAATCATGCTCCTTTTCAATTCGTGTTGAAGTTACAAAAGAGGCTTGGTTTAAAGACATGTATTGAGTACGCGATTGAATAAATGGTTTAGGGATGGCCAAAATTATAAGGGGGGTTTGTGAAAGCCTGGGATTTGGGAAACATTGCTCTCATTGATTACTGGTTCCCGTGGAAGGAAAATGATCCCTTATTGTTAGAAATTAGTATAAGTACCAGGGAATTGCCTCAGGGTCTAGTCTTCACCATCAGTTCCAAACATACGTACGCATACCTTGACAGAGTGTGTTGATTAACTGCACACGCGCACACCCTACACCGAGGCATACGGGCTCCTTCACACCCTGGGCTGAGTTTATGAATAGCATATTTGTACATGTGCTATATCTGGGCATGTGTAAAAATACATACCTTGGGCACAATCAAGTTGCTGTTTTAGACATTTCTTTATTCCCCCTACACAATGTGCTGGGACATGTGAGCCTGGCTTATTTATAGATGAGGATCACTTTTCAGAGAACTTGGGGGCAAACACTCCCAGGGCCCAGGAACTGGCAGCTCCATACTCCTAGAAGAGGCCTGCGGCTTCATAGGATGATGCCCGGACTAGATGCTGGGAGGCAAGGGAGCCCTACTATTTGCTGAGAAACTTTGGGAAAGTAACTTCTCTGCTCAGAGCCACAGTTGGACCACCTGACCTTTAAGCCCATCTGTAGCATGAACTTCTTCAGACCCCACAGCCTCCCCACCCCAACCACCAAATCACAGGCGGCTTGTGTGTCATTCATGCCAAGTCTCTAGCATCCCACACTCTGTGTACTAGCTGTGTGACCTGGGCCAAGTTACTTCTTCTTTTTTTAAAATGTTTATTTATTTTTGAGAGAGAGAGCAAAAGCAGGGGAGGGTAAGAGAGAGTGAGGGAGACACAGAATCCAAAGCAGGCTCCAGGCTCCCAGCTGTCAGCACAGAGCCTGACACGGGGCTCAAACTCACGAGCCACGAGATCATGACCTGAGCCAAAGTTGGACGCTTAACCGAATGAGCCACCCAGGTGCCCCTGGGCCAAGTTACTTCTGTCTCTGATCCTTAGGTCTCTTGTTTAACAATCCAAATAATACTATCTGCCGTAGCCATATGTATAGACCTGGGAGGATGTTCGTGATGTGTTAAATTTAAAAAAAGTAAAAGTTGCTCTATAATTCTATTTTTGTTTTGGAAAAAAAGGTGATTGAGCAAAAAAATCCCAGTATGGGCGGGCCTGGCTGGGTCAGTAGGTAGAGCACGCAACTCTTGATCTTGGGGTTATGAGTTTGAACCCCACGTTGGGTATAGAGTTTACTTAAAACAAACAAACAAAAAACCCCAGTATGTACAGTATAATCCACATTTTAAAAGAGGGTATTTCTAAACATATAGGGGAAAATTCCAGAGGACAGACATCAAAACTAACAGAGGCTTTCTATGGATGATAAGGGTTTCTTCTTTTTTGCTTACGTGAACATGAAAAACGCATCTTCTAGGAATATAAACTAAAAGTAAGTAGAGGAAAATATGGAAAATAAGAAACATCTACCTTGAAGGATGATGGGAAGAATTAAGTGAGAAAACAAGCTCTCATTAAATGGGGACCTGTTGTGCCTTTTGACGGGGAGACTTCTCTGCTCTCTCCTACTCTCTGGTGGCTGTCAAGAGTAGGCCCTCACTTGGTTCTTGCCCAGCAACTCTCAGGAAGCACTGACCAAAAGCAGCAAGGGGCCCACATTTTGGAAGCCACAGAAGTTAAAACGTCAGCCCTAGAAAGGCCAGGTCAGCATTTCCAACATCACTCCCTAGAATGCTCATTCATGGGATGTTAACAGGGTTGCTGCAAGAGGGGCTGTGGGCAGAGGAGACTATGAAGTGCTTGGTTCAACAAGTTTAACGGATATTCCATACAGCACTTGTCAGAGCCTTGCCAGCTCCAAGAAGGGGATTTGTAGGTAGTTTTCCCGGCCTTATTTGACCACGGAATACTTTTTTTCGAGAAGCACCTTTAGTGACTATTGTTTTACAAAGAACGATGATCTGATCTAACTCTTTCATTTATTTTTTTCTTTTAATTTCATGGGTGGGGAGAATGAGGCTGAGTGCGAAGGGCCTCTGTGAGGAGGAACAGGCTAAGCAACCACCTGAATCAGCAGCTTGACCTCCTGCCCTTCTTCCTCCCTCACTTCTGTTGCAGGAATATGCCCTGTGGCCCTTCTACCAAATGGAAGTTTCTCCTATACCTGTACCCCTTACCTAGATGTGAACAAAAGTCAGAGCAGCTGGGACAACTCAACACTCAAGACAGATTAGTCCCAGGGCAGAGAGACCTGGAAACAGTGTTTCTGAGGCCAAGGAGCCCCACCTCCACCAGGAGAGAAGGAGAAAGCGAGCTGGTAACTACAGCTAGAGAGATGTAGGCAGAGGACCGTAGGGTGACTGGGAAAGGCCTTGGAGCTGCATTTCCAAAGATGTAAGAATCCATGGGGTGACAACCGTGTCATGAGACCAACTCAGAGTCCACAGAAGCAAATGAGCCTCGTGCTCTCTGCTCGTGCTGCATGTACATCTGGGCCTAGCCAGGAGGCCACAGTAGGGATCAAGTCTCAGGACCAGCCTCTGCTCCTCTGTGGCCCTCAATCTCCTCTTCAGTAAGGCAAGTGCTTGGGCTAGATATGCTCTGAAGCGCTCTATCACTACGCCATACCCAAGCTCCATAGCTTAGTGGGTGGCATTCTTTGCAAGGAGCAAAAACTCTGCCCGACTTCTCTCGGGGACCGGATGTGAGCTGAGAGTCAGGCAGTGGTTGGCCCCTAAACCAGTTTAGGCAAATGGAGCCACTGTGGCTGTAAGAATCCCAGTTCCCGAGCACATCCCAGAGCCCTCTCTGGCCTACCCACTGCCCACTCCCCATAGGACACTCACCGAGGCTCCTCGGGCACCGGCACTTGGTCCTTCTCCCAAGTAATGACAGGTGCTGGCAGCCCTTCAATGTGGCATTCAAACCGAGCAGTCCCGTCCTCCTCCACCACCTGAGACTCCGGGTGCAGAGAGAAGCCTGCGAGTGCTGGGGGTGAGGACAGAGACGCGTGGGCAGAGACAGGAGAGGAGCCCGGAAAAGACAGGGGGCACAGACAGTGAAACACACACAGGCACGCACATGCACACACAGAGAGACAGAGAAGTACAAGGTGACAGAAACACAAGCAGAGCAAATGCCAGCCAACAGAGACACAGTTGAAGAGGCAGCCGGGGGGTAAGAAGTGGAGACTACTGGTCAGATGCCGTGTCAGAATGAAGCGCAAAGCACTGCCCCCCAACCCCTAACATCACCATCATGGCCAGATTACAGTAAGATGCACATTTCTTCTGGCCTAAAATTTCTTCACGGTGATTTTGTGTCTCTTGAGAACCGCCCCCCACCCAGGCTGGATGATGGGGCTTGTCCAGGTACTCCACCTGCTCCAGCGCCCCCCACTCTCACAAGCCTTTCTGAAGGGCTTCCTGGAGGAGAGCACAACTCTAGACTCTCAAACTCAAAGGGAAAGAAAAGGAGGAAGGAAAGGAGAGTGGGGGGGGGGGTGAGGCAGCCACACCAGGAAAGGACCTACTGAGCAGAGGAAAGTGGAGTGAGCTCAAGAGATAGGCCTTTGTGCAAGGAGCTAATGGGGACCACACTTCCCGCACCCCAGGCCTCCCGGGTCTCAGTTCTGCCCCCGGTTGCAGGCACTTACTGGCGAGCTTGACCACTGCGGCCTGGCTGGCCACCGCTCCAAGGGGGCCATGGGCCAGGCAGGAATAGTTGCCCTCAATGAGCTCTGAGTTCCCAGGGCTCGCCTCCTCACTGCTATCAGGTGCTAGTGGCTGAGACAGCCATAAGGAGCCATTTGGTAGCAGGCGCAGGTGGTCGTGCTCAGGCAGAGAGCCTCCATCCTTGCTCCACGTGATGCTGGTGGGGGGTCCGGAAGCCCCCAGACCACAGTCCAGCACTGCAGCTTGCTCTGGGCCCAGGATCACTTGCAGTGGCCCTGCCCCACAACTCAGCTCCACTGTTGTCTCCGGGGGCCACGGCAGTTCACCTGCACAGAGAGGGCAAGGACCAGGGCTGTTAGTGTGGGTCCTCCCGCATTCCACAGCCTCCAGATCCTCGGTCACCTGCCCAGGGGCTGGGGCAGCTCGTGGAAGAAGAGGTCCCATAGAGAGATCTGCATCCAGATCCTTGGCTCCGCCCCATCACCTGTGATCTTGGGCAGTCTGCCGCCCCGCGCCCACCTTCCCTGGCTGCTCAATTTCTTCATCAGCCAAAAAACACAGTTCACAGCAACATTCTTCATAATAGGTGAAAAGGAGAAACAACCCAAATGCCCATCACCTGATGAGTGGCTAAATATATTCCTCAGCCATCAAAAGAAATGAGAGTACCACTATCTGCTACCTGGATGAACTTTAAAAACTTTCTGCTAAGTGAAAGAAGCCAGTCGCAAAAATGCTATGTATTATACAATCTCATTTCTAGGAAATGTCCAGAATGGGCAAATCCACAAGGACAGAAAGTAGATGAATGGCTGCCGGGGGCTAAGGAGAGGGAAGAATGAGGAACCATGGCAAAAGGATATGATGTTTCTTTTTTTGGGTGATGAGAATGTTCTGGTATTAGCCAGTGGTGATGGTCGTGCAAACCTGTGAACATCAGAAAGACCACTGACTTGTACACTCTAGACGGTGAAATCTGTGCTATGTGGATTTTATCTCAATAAAAAAAGTACACAGTAACCCCTTCCTCATAGGGCTGTTGGGAGCATTAAGTGGGACAAGGTGTGGAAAAGGAACACAGTGCCTGGCCTGGCACAGAATTGGCCCTCGGAAATGTCACTCCTCCCTGGAACCTTACAGATCATCTTGACCACTATCACCCAACCCACTTCTGTCCCAGTGACAGGAGAGGCTAAGCACTCCTCCCTACAGCTCAGTTCCCCTTGGTCATGCAGCAAGCCACAGCCCATCCCCAGGAGCCCCAGAAGAGCCTGTAGCTCCAACACGGCCCCTGCCACAAAGGGAGGACTAGCGGGGAATTGGGGGAGGGGAATGTCACCCCAGGGTCAAGGCAAAAATACACAAAGGCCAATGTTTATCATTTTAACTACCATTTCAACAAGGCCCAGTAATAGTTATTCATAGAGAAATGCCATAGAGAAGGTCGACCTGCTACCTCCCCGTCCCATACAAGCTCAATGACCCAAGGTCCCTTCTTATCCTCAGGCCTGACACTTTGCTTACAGGCACAACGGCACATCTGAGAATGTACCGAGGACAAAGATGAGTACGATGGCACATACTTAGTACAGAGCAGGTCTGGGCTGATAGCCACATGAGGGCATGCAGAAAGCCAAATGGCTTGGGAATCAGGCAACCCTCAAGTTCTAGACCTGGGTCTGTCACAGTCTAGCTGTGTGGCCTCGGGCCAGTCACTTCTTCTGGACTTTAATTTACTCAAACGTAGCTAGCAGGTGATGTCTGAGATTCTAAGATTTTAGGATTATTCAGTGAAGAGTCATACGTGGATAAACCTATTCCCAAACATATAGAACACCATTTGGACACACATACAGACAACCTTCCACACCTGAACATATGTGCCCCAGTTTCTGCCATACTTGTCATAACCTGGACATATGGATGTCCATACTTAGAACCCCTGTCTGGGGGCGCCTGGGTGGCTCAGTCGACTGAGTGTCCAACTTCAGCTCAGGTCACGATCTCACAGTTCGTGAGTTCGAGCCCCGCGTCGGGCTCTGGGCTGATGGCTCAGAGCCTGGAGCCTGTTACAGATTCTGTGTCTCCCTCTCTCTCTGCCCCTCCCCCATTCATGCTCTGTCTCTCTGTCTCAAAAATAAATAAACATTAAAAAAAAAAAAAAAAAGAACCCCTGTCTGTCTCCAGGCTCTCTTCCCATCACTCCTAGAGCAAAATAAGACTGAGGGGCAAAGACAAGTCCCAACTGGCTGAGTAAGGAGGCCAGGGCAGAAGCCAGGGCTCTGGCACCAATGGGGCCTGAACAGGGCCTCTGCCTTTTTTTTTTAATTTTTTTTTAATTTTTTAAATGTTTATTCATTTTTTGAGAGCAAGAGAGACAGACAGAGCATGAGTGAGGGAGGGGCAGAGAGCAGGCCTGAACTCTGCCTTTCTTAATTCATTAGAAAGGCTCTGCTGGCACCTCCAACTGCACAACCAGCCTCAGCATCACTAGTGAGTGCAGGGACAGGCAGCCCTTGTCCTCACCCGGTTTCCATCCAGACTGGAGAAACCAGACTGGCCTTCACATCACTTTGGGCTATTTGCTGTGGTGGAAAGAGCATTTGACCTTGGGGCCAAAGATGTAGTTTTCAGTCTTGCTGCTCTGCCTACCAGCTGTGTGACAAACCCCTTAACTCTGGGCCTTAGTTTCCAGATCTGTAAAATGAAGCCCATATGACCAAGCCTGTGAGGAGTAAACAAGATGATGGGTGTCGGCGCATCAATCAAGGAATGGGAGCTCATTCTTTACAGGCTCTTTATAAACTGTACAAATGTTTGCGTGGTTTTTTTTTTTTTTTTTAATGAAAGATGTTACTTTAAAAAAAAAAAACTACACAAATGTTAATTACAGTTCTTAACAGCCAGTCCCTTCTACCTCTAAAGCCCTAGATTCTATGATTCAAACATAGGGTAGGGGGAAGACAAGCCCGGGCTCTCAGCCCAGTGGCTTCCAATTGCCGGGTTCCAGCCGCTGAGCAGTCAGTTTGAGTTTCAAGGGAGAAAAGCCCCACATGACACGAATCCCTGAGCCCTGCGGCAGCCTCCCCGCCCCCCAAAGCACGTCAGGGGCCTGGAAAATCCCCTGCCGCGCTGAACAAACAATGTGAACAGTTGGGGCCTGAGCAGCTGCTGGGTATGTCAGCAGCCTGGGCTCTGGCGGGCAGGACGGCAGCCAGAGAGGCCGGTGGCTGGCTGGGGAGCCCAGAGGAGGCTCCGATTCCCTTCCTGAATATTCATGGATCAGCAGATGTCTGGCTTCGCCACCTCTGAGGAGCCAAGCACCCAGCAAGGTAGAACAGGGAAACCAACAGGGATGTAGATGAGGAGGGAACCAGCCCACCCTGGCCCAGGTTGGTGGAAATGTCTTTGAAGCTTGAGATTCCTCATTTTATAAGTGGGGAAGCTGAGGCCCGAAAGGTGGAGGGGTGGGGGTGTCTCATCTCTCCGGAAGACAGTAGGGGAAATGTCCTTTGACCTTTGGGGGATGAACCCAGCACTGAAGAGACAGTTGCCTTTGAATATGAGGGCTCTCTCTGCCTCAGTGCCCAACCCAATTTCTGTGCCCAGGACATGCATCCCCAGGGGTTCAGCTCAGGCGTCAGCCATCCATGAAGCTGGCCCTGCCTCCTCGGACAGAAGCTTTTTATGCTTTACATCACATAGCCGCTTGCGGGTCCCTTATCCATCCTTCCTCTTGCCTAGACGGACAACAGGGTGTTGGGTGGGGAGGGGGGGTGGGGACAAGCCTTGGTCCGGAGTCAAGGTCCTGGGTCATTTGTTACATGACCTTGGGTCCACTACTTTTACTCCTTCCAGCCTCAGTTTCCCCAGCCTGAAAAGGAAGAGTCTCCACTTTTCTCATGTTCGCCAAAATTCTGCCAGAAGCAGAGGACAGCACGCTCAGGAGGCTTGCTGACTGCCCCCAAATGTTTTGATTTTTAAACCTGTGGCGAATTTTGCATTCTGCTCCATCACATAGCAATGCTTCTTTTCACATAAACTTGGTCCCTACACCACCAAATCGCTTCATAAAAGCGACGCTCTGAGGAGTGGACCTTGTTTGTCCGGTGGCTTCTTGGCCACCCCTTTCCTGCCACCCCCAGCCACTGTCATGGCTGACCCCCAAAGCCCTTCCCATGAGTCTTTCTCAGCTATCCCTCTCAGGACTGGGGCAGACACAGTGGACGCTTGCTGCCCACCAGCTTTGTGCCTCGATGGGGGCTCCTCTGCCACAATTCCTTCTCCTCAGCTTCCTTGGTGAGACCCTACCAGAGACACGGAGCTCCTATGCCTGGGAACCCTGAGGTCATCTCTCGATCTCCTTCTTCTAACAGGTTATTTTACCCACTTGCAGGATAAATTAGATTTTATGAGGCCAATTAGAACCCAGACAGAAAGGAGATTCGCTTCCGAGTCTCAGAGCCAGCTCGATGCTGTTTTGTGCAGTTAGTGGGGGCCAGGTGTGAGCCAGGGTTCCATTTCCCCATGAACTCTCAGGAAAGGGGCCAGAGGGTGGGGGAGGGAAACCCAGCCTAGATGTCTCCTCCATGAAGCCAAGAACTTGCCACAAACATCAATGCCTTGTCACTTTTGAATTTCGGGGCCCAACAGATTTACATCTTGTGTTCAGTGTGGGGCCGGTTCTCCATGATGCCGTTATGTCTTTTCCTAGGAGACCCAAGTCAGTGTCTTCCAGAAACTTCCTTCCCCACCCTCCCACCTTGGCGGCTTCCCTTACAAACACACTAAACCCCTCCCACCAACAGCTGAAAGGAGAGCTTGGGACAGTGGCCTGGGACACAAGGGTGGGCACACAGTTCCCTTCATCTGTGATCCTGAGAGGCCTGGCCTCAGTGGACCTGACAGTAAAGCCACAGTCAGCTCCTGCCTCCCTCCCGTTCCCTGTGACCCTCTATCCCCATCAAAACGCTTTCAGCTCTCTGAAAGCACACTGCTATTCCATATGTTGTTCCTGCTGCTCCCTCTCCTTACGACAGCCATGCTATCCCTGGTTCTGATGTTGTTGCCTCTTTTCTGCCCCATGGGATCCTGAGCACCTTGGTCATTGCAGTTGTCACTCTAGAGTTTTTACCTTCTTTCTCCCCAACGAGGCAACAAGCTCAGAATCATGTCCTCGGCAGCTTTCTAGATCCCTGGTACCTGAAACAGTGCCTGGTACATACTAGGTGCTCAATAAATATTCCTTGAACAGACAAGGGGACATGTGGAGACACAGCCCCATCATGCTGTTCTAAGCTTCACTTTCCTTATCTGTAAAAATTATAGGAACTCCTTTAAAGTCTGGACATGACGTGAATAATGTATGTGGAAAACTGCCTATGTGGCATCTAGTAGACACTTAACAAAATGCTTAAAAAGCACAGAGACAGAAAAGCAAACTCACACTGAAAGAAACTCTGTACTTAAACATTACAATCACTGGGGAGCTCACTACCTTACCAGTTCTCCTGCTGTATGGCTCATATGATTAAAAATATTTCTCCTGTGCCCGCCTTTCTCTCCCTGTATGCTCTGATCATTTGCTGGAACTCTCTCCTCCAGACTATGTGACAAGCTAGTAAGTCTCTTATGGGAACCATCCAGAAGTCTTGGCTCTGCACCAGCTTACATACTCAGGTCTGCACCTGAAAGAGAGCTTACTGAGCCTCTGCTTCCCTGACCTCAATGACTCCAAAGCGCCTCAAATCCAGAGGATGCCTCAGCGTCAGCCTCAGCAGTGAGGTAGCCAACAGCCCAGCTAGATTCTATTTCTCTGCATGTCAGGGCCAGAACATTAGCTCTTTGATTTTCCTCCCAACCCCAGCTCCCATCACCCTCCTCCAACCAGGCTAGGGCTGGCGTCCTCCCCCATCAGAGCTGCTGTTACTCCTCCCCTCTCCGCACACTCCAGGGGGCTGGGAGCCCCAAAGCCCACCTGGCAATGACATCTGTTCTGCATCTGGAATTCTGTGTCAAGTCTGGTTGCTGTACCTCAGAAACAGCGGAGGCCAAACAGGAGGCAGCGGGTAGGGATGAATGGAGAAGGGTGAATTCCAGAGCCCAGCCTCAGACACACCAACTGAGGGAGGTCAAGCCCAAAGTGGGTAACTTCTCATGTGAGGGGGAGGGGGTGCAGAGAAACTGAACTTGGGTATGTGTGTACCAAATCCAGGGAAAATGTGGCTCCAAGAGCCAGGAGACTAGTTCCAGCCCCAGCTCAGTCCCTATCCATGCAGCTTTGGGAAGTCACTCGGCTTTCTCGTCTGGAAAATGGGTTCATGCTAAAATTACTTCTAAATTCCCTTCAGTGCTGCCATTCACTCTACTTGTGAGATAGCTTAACATGAAAGAGGTACCTTTAGAAGAAAAGAAAGGAACTGCTCTTTTACACATAACGTATGATGAATTGGGCCATGAAAGTTCATAAAGGACCGATGAAGGTATGGAGAAATTCTGGAGAAAACTCACTATTAAGAGGAACTTGTTTGACCTGGTTCCTAACCTCGATATGGGGTCAGAGAGGGCCACCCCAATGGAAGGGAGGTGGACCTCTGTGTCTCCGGGCTGAGAAAGAGATGGGGCAGAGAAAGCAGCTCTCAGGTTCTTGGAGCCTTCTTATTACTGACCTGTGGCATCCCCACTCCCCAAATTTTGATTGGGTGGAAGGGAGAGCCCCACTTCTTGCACTCAGCATTCTCCCACCACCCCCAGACAGAAGCCCCATTCCTACAAGTCTCCCCAGTTCCAATCCTTGACTGGAGCCGTTTTGGGGGACACCAGCCCCTTCACTCTGCCATGTTGAGGTTGCTGAAGCATCTGTTTATTTTTTTACTTCCCTCTCCCTCACCCCCTGCAAACTCAATCTATCTTCAGATCCTACTAATTCTACTTTCTAAATATCTCTACAAGCCTGGCCACACCAACTGCCACTACGCCGGTTGCCTCCATCCTCTCTTCTGGATTACTACAACAGCCTCCCAAGAAGCTGGAGCTTCCTGCTTCCAGTCCCGCCCCACTGACCGATTCTCCACACTGGCTGCAGGAGCTGATGCAAAGCTGATTTTAAAACTTGCCAAGGGCTCAGGCAGGCTCTCAGGCCAGAAACTTTGGTGGGACTTATAAAGTCCTTCAGGAGCTGGGCCCAGCCCCCATCTTCAGCCTTCTCTCTTGACACCTGTGGTACCAACCCCCCCTCCCCCCGCCCATCCCACTCCATCCTGCCCCATTCTCATCCCTGTGCTCTCCTCTCCTGCCAGGCTTAGCTTCATTCAGTGTCCTAAACGAAGTCACTCTGAGCACTTACATGGGCAGTTCACTCTGGAAAACTTTGCCCATCATCACTCTCCTTTTACAGGGCTAACTGACCCTCTGCATGGAGCTCTATTATTCATCACTTCCTGGAGGAAGCTTTTCCTGACCTTTCCAGACTACCTGTCATGTCAGTCTCCCTCCACCAGACAGCAAGCTCTGCACCAGGGACCAGGTCTGCCTCCTTTATTTCCCATATTCTAGGCACCAAGCACATGCTAGTCAAAAAGGGTGCTCAGTAAATATTTGTTGAATGAATGAATGAATGAATGACCTCGGTCCAGATCAGGGTGGCTAGTCAGAACCCTACAGGAGTGTCCCTAGGCCTGTTAAGCTTTGCGCACTCAAAGGGTTTGGGACTGAGGGCCAGTAGCCTCGTTGTTTTAGCCATGCACACTGCTGCCAAGGGAGCCCCAGCTCGGGCCCTGCCCCAGCCTTGTGCACTCAAGAGCAGGGAGAGGCCAGGTCTCCCAGGCAGACTGAACCCCTTGCAGGAGGCCCCACAGATATACCGTAACGATCGAGCGCAGCTCCCAGCCCTCATCCCGCTTTGCTGGGTGACCCAGAGCCGGCTCCTGGAGCTCTTGGAAGAGCGTAAGAGAGTCGGCACAACTATTCCTTAATCCCCTGGGCTCCCGGAGGACTGAGGCCTCTCCCGCACTTCCCCGCCCCCTTCACCTGACAATCCCGGGTTCCGAGCCAGGGCTGGAGAGGGGCGTGTCTTTGTGGGGAGAGAAGGGGTCCGAGCTTTTCCGGGCACTTTCCCACCCGCTGTTTGGGTTTCCTGGAGATGGGCCTGGGGCCGGCCAGACCAAGGTTCCTCCGCGGTCCCTGCCTCCCTCCGCCGTCCCAGCCTCCCTCCCACGTGGCCTGGCTGAGTCTCTCTGGAAAGCCGAAGCAGCTGGAGAGAAATCCCCCTCCCCACCCCCACCTCTAAG